CGGCGCGGCGCTCTGGCCGGGCCGTGAGGGTCGGAGGCGGGCGGGCGTGGATGGATCCCCGCGTGGCCTGGATCCAGCCCGAGCAGAAAGGCCCCGCGAATGCGCTGTGGATGCAGATCTGGGAGACCTCGCAGGGCGTGGGGGGCCGGGGCGGCGCCAGCTTCCCGCACTACCTCTGCCTGAACTCCCCGGCTCTGGACTCCGCCGCCTCCCCGCCCCGCGGCCACAGCTGCCTGCGGCTCGGGGCGCCCGGCGGCGGCGCCTGCTGCTCCTCCTCCTCGCCGCCTTCGCCTTCGCCTTCCCCTCCGGCCCTGCTGACCGGACTGGTTCCCGCCGGCGGCGGCGGCGGCCCCGCGGCGGTCAACGGCGGCGAGGGAGGGCGGCGGCTGCAGAAGTCGCCTTCCGTGTCTTCCTCGTCCTCCTGCTCGTCGGTGGAGTCCGGCACCGAGAGCCCCGGCTTCTCCTCCTCGGGATCGTGCAGCGGCGGCGGAGGCGGCGGCTCCTCCTCTTCCTCCTGCGGCCCCCGGGCGGCGGCGGTGGCTCCTCCCGGGCTGCTGGGCAGCGGGGCCGGACCCGGCGAGTTTTTTAACTTCCACGAGAACAAAGTGAACGGTGTGAACGGGCACCACCAGCCCCCGCACCTGGCGCGCAGCCCCCACCCGCCGCCGCCGGCCTCTCCCCAGCAGCACCAGTACCACCCGGGCCGTAGGAAACGAGAGAATAAAGCCAGCACCTATGGGATGAATTACCTGCTCTCCGGCAGCCGTGGCGTCGCCATCAACAACTCCCCCCACCAGCAGCGGCAGCCGCCTCAGCCAGCACTGCAGAGCCCCGGCACACCCTGGAAGACCAGGAAATACAGCCCGGGAGTGCAGGGGTGAGCAGCCGGGACCCCTGGGGCTGCTGCAGCCCGAGAGGAAAGGGGGACCTCGGCAGCCTCTCCTGCAGCCCTGCCGGGCATGGGGCGGGAGGTGTAGGGTGTGGGTTGGGGTCACACAAATTCCTCCGGAGCTGGTTGCGGCAGTGAGGTCGATGATGGAGGATGGTGGGGCACAAAACCGTGTTCTTTCCTAAATCACCTTGGCCTGTGCTGGCTGGTGGCTCCTGACCGAAGTGGCGACGCTGGCAGGGCCTGGCAACCCACAGATGCAGGGTCTTAGGCCTTGCCTCGTAGTAGGTTGAGAGGTGAAATTGCTAGGCCACCGTCAAACGACACCTACAATAATCAAAGCAAAGATGGGTGGGGGATGCTTGTCAAAGCTCCTAGGGGTCAATTCAGAGCATAAGGGGGAAATGGAAGGCTCGGAGAAAACCCTTGCACTCATTTTTAAGTGCCTCTGCTTAGGGTGTAGCAGGCTGATTACTTCGGGGAGTGTTAGGAACATCAGTTGAAAGGGAAGTGCCCAATTCTGGCTGAAGTAAGCATGAAAGTCAATGTGGTCTTAGGATGTTTTTGGGGGAAGTGTTCTAGCTCTAGAATAGATTGAGCCAGCCAATATCTGAACTTAAGACTTGGCTTTCTAAAGAGATAGCTTTTATGAAGCTTATCCTATTCTGTGGCTGTAACTTTCTCATATAAATGGGTCGTTAGTAAGGCAGAGTATTCAGTTTGGTCCGATTGGTGTGTAGAAGGGACTAAACTTCAGCAAAACACCTCTGGGGTGCTCCGTGAGATTTCTGTATTTCAGCTGCCAAATTTCACTCAGTCTAGGGGAAGTGTTACTTTCTAATGTTAAGGTTATTTTATTCATGGAAAAAGTGCTGGCTGCATTGATTGACCATAGCAGATTTCTGATGTCATTTCAAAAATAGTTTCTTGGAACTCCTAAAATCCAAGACCCTTGGATGCCCATGGAGTAAAGGCACTGCATGTTTGTAGAGGGAGGTAGATAACAGGGTGCGCTTTCAGGGCTGGAGAAATCTGGGAGATTTAACTTAAGGACAGCATCTTCCTTTTCTCTTTTGCATGGTACTATCAGGCGTCAGGTACATTAAAGTTATCCAGAAGTTTTAAAAGATGTTTTCAAAGTTCTGTTTTTGCAAATCGTACCCTCTCCTGGGGAGGACAAGACTTAAGACTACTGCTTTTTAATTCCAAACTGAGACTGAAAATGAAAATTGCTTACAGGAAGCTAAGATTTGGATGTTTAAGAGGCGTCATATGCTGGGAGCTTTGGGTCCTGTACTAATAAGATGTGTGTCTAAAATTCCAATAGTATCTTAAAAATAGTCTGAATTTCTTTGTTTTATTTCCCTAGAGATGCAGTAGAACACCAAGTTAACATTTTAATTATCTGTGTAAGGCAAGTCAGTGTCACTGAGGTAGATCTCCAGGCAGGCAGATGAGGGAGTGCCTGGGGTCACCCAGCAGGTCTATGGCAAACCTGGGAATCGAATCCAAGCACTGCAGGTTCTGTCCTCTAGCTGTTAGGCAGCACCACCTATGCCAATCACATATCCTTATCTTTCATCTTCTGCCTTTTTGTTTTCTGTTGGCTTTTCCCTTAATAAAGCTTATGCCACTTTTCAAGTGTAAGTTTATAGAGAATCCATACACAAGAAAATTGTTTAGCCAAGCTTCAGTTGCACTGTTCAGTTCCATAATACAGGTTGTTCTTTTGCTGATGTGTTAATGACAAGTTCTTGGCTAAATATCTTTGAAAGTGGAAGCTGTGTTTCCTGATCTTCTGTCATGGATCTGTATTACTACAGTGAGATCTGGTGCTAGGAGTGGGACACTGGTAACTACAGCATGTGTGATGCCATAGGTCCAGCTTTCCTTAGAGTAGCAGGGAACTAGTGCTGAAGGAGAGCATGGAAGTTGAAACCATAGACTTAAATACGAGAAGCAGTTTCTGCCTTAAACTTGGAGTTCTGTTACCCAAGGTGAATTTTGGACAAGCGTGTATTCTAAAACAATTTTCTGATTGGTGTTAGGAATCTTTTTTATGAAGTACTTACATGATTGAAATAACAAAAATACTGTCACCGGTGGAGTGGCTTTAGGTGTCTTATCTTCTGCAGTAATTCCTGACTACTGGTGAGTTTAACTTAATTTTCCTGAAGCCAGGGCTGGTGTATTAATTGGCTGTTCAAATAAAAATGCACTGAAAAGACTGGGGTTGGAACAGATCCCTACAGAAGTTTCTTCTGGATCCTTTATGTTCCTGATTTGTTGCCTGGTGTTACCTGGAACTGTCAGCCCAGTCCTGAGGCACCACTTCCATAACTGTGATGGTGTACTGACAGAGCATCTTCAGTGGTGTCAAACTGGTGTATGCAACTGTCAAAAAATGTGATCCTTATGGTCTTCAGTTGCAGTCTGCTTTGGACATAGATTATAGGAAGGAGGACTTGTTCATAGATGCTCTTACACTCATATTATGCATGAATGTTAGAGCTTACTCTGCCATGAGTATTGTTCTCTGCAGAACGTTTTTCTACAACACACTGGAATTTCCAAGTGATGTGCAGTAGCTCACAGTGTTATTGTATTGTCTTTTGGTAACAGACTAAGAAGGGTAATCTCTGCCCTCTCCCAGGCTGCAGTAGTACTTTTGATGAAATGCCTGCATGCTTTGAAATAGCATTGTGCTCTCTCTGCTTTCTCATTCAGAGCTGGAGATGGTCTGTAGCAGTGCAAGTTGTCACTGTTTTTTTTTCAAATGGATCATATTCAGTGGCTTTGTGATGGTAGGTGTGGTGAGGTTTAGGAATGCTTTATGTTGTAAAGGCTCTGTTTTGCTCTGTTTTATGTTTTTTCTGGTGGACTTGTACCTATTGCTTTTACCACCTTCTGACAACAGCATGCCAATCTTTTGTATTGTAAAGGAAATTCTCCCTCTCATAAAACACAAGTGTGAATAGCCATGCTTGATTAGATTTCATCCTAAAGCTATGCCTTAGGATGCCCTAGATTGGCCTGTGTCATCTTTTTTTCAGATTTTTTGAAGGTAAGGAGTGAGGAGAATGAAGCCGTGTTTATTCCAGTGCTTCAACAGAATGATTAATATAGAAACAGTGTAAATTCTTAAATGCCTGGGTTTAGCTTAGGAGTACTGATGACAAAATGATTGGTTTCATATGCAATGCAGATAAGTGTCCTTTAATATTGTGAGGTTAGCTCAAACTGTTATGACTGATGTTCAGAACTATATATGTTTTCTTGCTGTAAATTATCCTCTGTACAAGAGGATGCTGTAAAGTATCCTCTTGAGTGGTTTTAAACTACATCTAGCATCTTAGGGTCTGCCGCCTTTGTACATCAAAGTAATACCTTCTGTTTCTGTAAAGTCAGTATCTTAAATATATCTGACTAATTTAAGCATCCAGAGAGTTTAAAAGTGCTGGAATTTTATTTCAAAATATAGAATCAAGCTATTCTAAACTTTTTACTAAGGTCTCTACTGCTAGGTTTGCATTGCTTGGGTACACAGATAATAGGGCATTTATCTCTTAAGATGTAGCTAATAGCTTATGAATAGTACAAAATCATATCTGATTTAATTATTCTGCTTCTTAATAGGAATTTAACAAAGTAACTAAAGAATTAAAGCATTTTTAACAATATGAGCCTGTTTTGCTTAATACCTTCAACTACATATTCAGATAAATTGTAGATTTTGAATGAGATCAGTGCTGAAATACCTGGCATATCTGCCTGGTACATTATAGTGCTGTGCAGAAACAAAAGAACTGGCTTGTTGAGGATTAGTGTGGATACCAGAAGTGTTATGATACATTGGAATGGTGCTCTGCCTGAACTAATTAGCATTGGATAGCATCTGTCTACTTACTGCATTCATATTTCCCCCTCCATACCTGTTGTCTTTAACTATTTCTTGATAATGACACAAGTTCTGTTGTAGAGCACAACAGTGCAAACACCTCCACATTTGGTTAGGCTGAAGGAGGATTCAGGCCAGCCTTGTCTGGTGACCATAGCAGATGCCTGGGAAGCATCCTCATAAGTAAGGTACGCTTATGACGATGCTTCCCCAGAAGACTTGTTTCAGTGTTCACTAGTTTGGAGCTGAAGGATACTGTGTACCAAATGTGATGTCCAGAGATTCATTTCTGTAGCTACTCAGATGTGGTGGTGTTACTATATACTAAGTGTGTATTAGGTTTTGTTTATTTCTTCATCTGTATGCTGAAGTGTTTCTAATTCCAGTCTTACTGGGTTTTTTACTTTTATGATATATTGCTGAACTTCGGTGACCAAGATAAATTCAATTACTGGGTTTTGTGCTATGCATTGTTAAAAATGCATTGCATTCAGGGCCTTCCAGAGCTCTAGTTCCACGTTTATCAATCCTCACTTCTTATTATGCTGCTGTCAGAGCTGGACAATGCAAATTAATGTGTAGGGATGCCACATTGTCAGCCTTTTTTGCAAATTTTATTTTCTTGTACTTTGCCTGAGCTGGAAAAATGCAGACTTTGGAAACTCTGTGAAGCCTTTACTGTCTACATTGGGGTGTCCAGCACTTGTAAGGGCTTTAAAGGGATTCCCAAGGCTGTTATTCTAACTCCATCCTGTACTTAACAGTGCTGTCTTGCTCTAATACCTTCTAATAAAGAATCAACACAGTGGGCTATACTTCATCCACACTACTGTTAAATCATTAGTGTCTGTTATCTGCAATGTTCGGTGGTTACCTGTAGTGAAGGTCTTAATGTAAGAGGCAGGCAGTGCTGGCAATGTACACTTGGTTCTTGTTTCATCTGGCTTTAGGATCGGGGCAGGGGGCAGAACTAGGCAGTATATACTGTAGTATGCAAGGAGGAGGGCAGGGGTAGCTAGGGCCTGTTAGTCATAGTAAATTTCTGGACAGAGACTTGAGAGAGCATCGTGATGTGGTTGAAAGGATTGTT